ACACACACACACACACACACACACACACACACACACACACACACACATACACCCACACATACACCCACTCACTCACACACGCGCGCGCGCGCGAGCACGCACATTTACATTAGCAAAAACATCACAAAAGTGCTTTAATGCCTTATTATGTACAGTTACATACATTGCTTTATCTATACACATATGCTCCTGTTCATGTTCCTGAACACAAAGAGAGCTTATAGCTCTCCTCTCTATAACCGTGTTCAGGAACCGCATGTCACGACTGGCGAAATGGAGGCAAACAAAGACTTTTCTCACTCATGTCACACAACCGTAGTTTTTTTAATTCATAGATAAACTAGAGTCGGCCCCAACTATCATACTTGATTTCGAACGATATGATAGCTTACATGTAAAATTTGCCAAAATTATGTGCTATTGACATTTCATTTCGAATGAAACTTCATCTCGACTGATCTTAGAATTGAGGTCGAATAAAATTGTTTTGTTTTTCAGATATGTTCGAAATTTTAATGTAATAATAATAACGCACACGCTCAACATAGCCCCGCGCTAGGGAAATCCCTGTGTCGCGGGTGCCATGGACACACACATAGATAATCATACATTACAATCAATATTAAAATCGAATATGATGGTTATGAAGCAATAATAACATTTTCACAGATAAGAAATTCGTTCTAACAAAACAGTTTATCTTTATGCTGGTCGTGATTTGCGGTTTTTGAACACATCATAGAGAGTTTATGATATGTGTGTAGATAAATAAAATAACTACAACACAACAAAATAGATGTGTCGCGTCCAGCCTCCATGATGACCAGACGGACAGGCGACAAAGACAGACTTACTAGACTGACAGGAATTCCAAATTAGACCGACTTTCTTTTGGACGAAAGGCGACGACCGACATTCCTTTGTTTTGATAGAGGACGATGAGGACAGTCCTGACTAAACCTCCGACGCAAGCAGACGATTTCTCTTGACTGAATTTTATAGACAGACCGGTATTTCTGAAATATACCATTACTATATAATCAATCTATGTTCTCATAAACTAGACTGTCTTATTGTAAGTGATATAGGGTGGAATTTAAATTTATAGTGTTACAAGAGATGTATTGCTGTCAGCATCTTCTGTAGACTGTTCATATTCTCCTTGCGAGCTTCAAGCGTCGTCCGTCTTCTTAACTGATTTTGACAAAACTAGTGGAACGTCATTTGTGTCCTAGTTATTATCTAAAACACAATTAAAACTATGGATATAAATTAATTACCTGAAATATTTAACATCAACTTATTACAAAAACGAACACAATAAACTTCCAGTACAATATTGGAATTAAACGGATATTACTGTCAAAGTAAGACAGGGAAGGTCACAATCACAAAGCTGAGACGAATTTATCATAAGAAAATGAGAACAGGATCGTTAGTGGAAACAAAAGGATTGTTTGGCAAAGTACGCGTCTGGCCACGAGAAAGTCAAACGTTAATTAATTAACTGAAAAGCGCATTATACTTAAAATTTTACTCTGAAGGGAGCCTGTTAAATTTCAATAAAGGTAATTGTACCTGGTTAGCAATGGTAAAGGGATTCTTAGCTTTTGTTACAAAACGGTACATTTTCCATTCTATACTTACTAAGTACAAAACATTTCTTAACCAAGCCTGGGAATTATTGTTTTTTCTTTTTTTAATATACCAAGTGATAGGGCGAACAATTCCTCCGACTGGTGTTAAGCAATACGCCTGTCCATAACAGTTGCAATGTCACTCAGAGCTTTAAATGTTCCTCAGATCTATGCAAGATCTGAGGAACACTGCCACAGCGCTTGTCACCATGAGACTTATGTTGACAATTCGCATGTGCCAGTAATTTCACCAGCAGTACCCTCATTCTTCAAAACTGCCTGGCGGCAGAAATGGGTTAGGTTGCAGTTCTAGGATGAACTGTTTCACAAGGAGCTCCAGTGGCTGCTTTGGTTATTTCGATTGTTTGACACTTAGTAGTGGCTAATACTAATGTTAGGTTTTTATAAGGTTAATTTTAATTTGAATTCCTTGCTACGATACAATAAAAATAAAAATACTGAGAAACACAGAATAAATTATTAATAAAAAGATCGGATACTCAGAAAAAATTCCTTTGATCCGGCCGGATTCGAACCGACGTCTTCTAGCATACCGTGTCAGACGCTATACCAACTAAGCCACGGAACGAACCAGCGGACCTCACGAATTTCTCTACGTGCTTGCGTCGTATCTTTGTGTTTGGTTTTTCAACGACTTTTTAGCTGTAGCGCCATTTATAAGAAATCTATGATATTTCGTCACCTTTTACAGCTACCAGCCCTGGCTAGAGATGTCGCTACACATTGTATTTAAATTTTTATTGAATTGATATTCAATTATTTTTGTGAAATTACTCCACTAGTTTGTTATAATTATTAATACAAAGATCGAACACTCAGAAAAAATTCCTTCGATGCGGCCGGATTCGAACCTTCTAGCCTACTGTATCAGGTGCTATACCAAATAATAATTATGACAAACTAGTAGAGTAATTTCACATAAAAATAATTGAGTATCAATTGAAAATCAATTCAATAAAAATTTAAATACAGAATAAATTGTCTAGATTTTCACGTTACAAGTTTCAATTACCCTAATCGGATTCCATATACCTTTATATGTGTGGAGAACTAAAAGCTGA